ACAAAGACAACAAGATGTGTCCCGATCAACCTCTCACCCACGACCTTTCTGACGTCAGCGGCTCTGCCACGCCCCTCGCGCACGCGCACCGAGCACTGCGCGCAGAATACACTGCGACAACACACACTGACATGTCGTTTTCTAGTGAAATATGAAACAGTTTTGCTCGGTTCTTGTTCGTTTTCAAAGCAGACTTATGGGGGACGTCATACGTTTAAATACACCTCGCGAAATCACTATGGTTTCTGACACCACGACAAAATAGTTTTCCCCTCAGATTTAAGGGTTGCACTTCTTAAAGGGACAGTTCACCCACAAATGATGATCATTTACTCACCCTCGAGTTGTACTGTATGAGTTTCTTTCTTCCGTTGAACCAAAAGAAGGTATTTTGAAGAATGTTGGTAACCAGACACATTGACTTCCATGGTATTTGTTTCCTACTGTGGAAGTCAATGCAACCGTCAACCATTTGATGAAGGAAAAAAGCAATATCTTCTTGAGGGCAGGTGCACTCTTATGAAAATAAACACTTCCTTTTGGTGTTGATTACAGATGCCATGTGAACTTTCGTCTGTTGTTTGTCCATATTTAAATATTATTATTAACAGACTGCCAAAATACAACATAGCCAGATCTGTTGCACCAACCCGTCCACCAGCTATATCTCCTCATTCAGATAATCAATCGCTTCTGCGTGTAAGAACTTCTTTAGTTGATATCATAGGCATAGTTATTTAAAAAAACAACAACAAAAAAAAAAACATTATTTAGCCTACTCACTCTCATGTTTTAAAATGAATATGAATATTTGTTGCTAGCTTTTTGCCATTTATTGCACAGGTTGAAATCCACAGAAAATTAAACATCACAAAAGAGAGATCCCAGGCGTGTGGGAGAGGAGAGAGAACAGACTTACAGTGGCTGTTTCTGGGAGGAGCCACACATGGCCTAGCTTTATCTGTATGTATTTTTTATTTTTTAAAGGTATCAAACATATAAGTAGGCTATATACCACACATGCCTATCAGGTAAACCTGGCACAACCCAAGCCAATCTTAGAGCGAGTTAAAGTGGTACTTATTTTAGGTTAACACATGTTTTCAAAATGTATTAAAACATATCTAATATGTATTTTAATAATCCTGATTTCTGAGTATCTCTTACATCCTCAGTCTAAATATTTGTTTTATTGTTATTATTTTACAGACACTGTACAGGGTCGATTCCCAGATACTCCAGTTTCTTAGCGCTTCGCTCCGGGCGATTCTTTATGACAAACACAGACACTCTATTGAGATACATATGTATATATCCAATGTTAGATATTCAGGTAACACTTTACAATAAGGTTCATTAGTTCACATTAGTAAGTTAAGGTCAGGCCCTAAATGACCTCAACAAGAGCAACACATGAATCATTATTAAAATACACTGGCATAAAATACACTTACTGGTCCATGCCTCCCTTTATATACAGCACACAGTTACTTTCAGACGAGACTGTAGATTGTGGAGCAGTTCTGGCATGCACACACACACACACACACACACACACACACACACACACACACACGCCATCTGATGGAGGCAGCGGGTGGGCGCATACACACACATACACGCACAGGGATCTTCGAGATCAGTGACTCTCAACCTGCCACACAAGAGACTTTTAAAAAAACAATACTCAATATGTAATCTGACATCATAATTCTTCTTTAATTTATTCCCTTAACGTCTTTTTTTTGTACTTTCGTCTCTTGTACTCCTATTTTCTGACATGATACAGTCATAGATCTACACTCTAATCAGTATTTCTTGTATGTGTATTTCTTTAAGTAGTGTGTGTTGTCAGCAGATCAGAGTCTGTATTTCTGCTCGAGACTGACACTTGCTGGTGCCTTTAGGAATTAGATTTCAGCTGAAGTGCATTTTTTCCAATCATATTTTGCCCAAAATTAGAGTATTATTACATAATGTCATCTACTGTATATCCTCCTCTAATTCCTTCACTTTATTGTTATCCGTTTATCGCTGTCTCTTGCTTTCTGGTTAGCTTTATACAGGCTTTATTTCTTCATTGGAAAACCAAGTGAAGATGTTTATTAGGGCTACTTGGTAAATGGATGGTAATTTACACTGAAGAGTAACAAAAAAAAAAACACCCAAAAAACACCATAAAAATATAATATCAATAATTCACATGACTTTTGCACTCCAAAAAGACCAAAAAGTTACGATCATCTGCTGCTCTCAGACCTGTTAAAATCAGAAAATGTAGGCAAGAAAATACAACCATAGTTGTGACTTACTTCTCATAATTTAAAGCAAATGTATTATTAATATATACATGTGTAATAAAAGGTGAGTTTTTAAAAGATGTATCAAAACAGAAGCTCAAATACTGACAGGAACATTACACACTAACTAAAGATAAAAAAGTGAAATCATAATCAACCACCCCATTAATGATCTGTCGACATGATGGCGGTGAATCGCAGAGCTGCGGCAAACATATCCGTCGCTCTCTACAGTGTTTAATGTATATCACGGCAAAGGTATTTTCCACTTCTTTTTACTTCTAAGAACAAACATGTGTGAGTATATTGGGGTTTTGAATCATGTTCATTATATCATGTTCATGTGTGCTCGAGCAATAGACCATTTCACAAGATGTAAACAACACTGGTCCAGAAGCACTTCCTGTTTCAGTTTGTAACTGTTTTCTTTATTTCACATGTAAAGAAAACATCTTAAAGATGTTTGTTTTACTTTTTGATTCAGTTTTAAATGTTCTGTTGGTTGTATTTTATCCCAGCTTTTGTGTAGTGTTAAAAAACTGAAACAGGAAGTGCTTGTGGACCAGTGTTGTTTACATCTTGTGAAATGGTCTATACACTGCCGCTGCAGTTCACTTAACGGCCACCGGTGTCACTCATAACAAGGGTTTCTGAATTCTAAATTATTTTATTTTTTCCTGCAGCAGAATTGTCCTTGCATGTGTTCAGATCAGCATATGCACATATGAGTTTCTGTTTGTCACAAAGTCCTTGTTTGTTTAAAACTAATTTTGCAGATCTAAACATGAACATATGTAGATTAAGCAAGACCTCCGATTGTGTCAGTGCACTTAAATCAATGATATACTGAAACAACAAACTGAGCAAATAAAAGGCCAGACAAATATTTATTAGCAAACTATGTTTGTTTGTTCTGTCGGTCACTTTTGCGAAATCAATCTCAAACTTGGCTCTGCTTTTTTCTGCCACAGCCTAGGGATGAACTTTGGAGTAAGGGCTGAAACGAGCAAGCAAGCATTGCACACATGAGTTTGTTTTGCTATAAATGTCCTGAAAACTGAGGCTGTGAAAAGAAGAAATGTTCTGAAGTCATCATGGGTGATAATAAGCTCTGTCTTCTGCTGCTTTTGACCGTCGCCATGTCCAGTAAGTGTCTCTACTGCCGCTCATTCTGAGGAGCTCAAATCAACATTTTTACTCCCAAATATTTACACTGCAAAGTTTTTTTCTCTGTATTTTTTCCAATACAAGTAATAAAATACATTTACTAAAAATGCAAAATGACATGTATATTAAATTTAAGAAAAAAAAAGTGAGATTTGTCCTTAAAACACATGAAATATTCCAATACAAACATTTTTGCCTAATTAAAATATTTCCAGTTTAATAGGATACATTGTTGAGATGCACATTAAATGTATGTATAAGCCCATTTCTGTCAAATGAGATGAATCATGCTTTAGTAAATCCTAATTATGATATACTTAGTCATAATTATTAGATTGAAAAGTCAAATCATGACATAAAAAGTCGAAAATGACATACTATTATTAGACTTACATACATAAGTCTAATAATAATAGGTATTATGATATAAAAGTAAAAAAATGCAAAAACGTGCAAGTCATAATTATGAGATAAGAGTAACTTATTTACATTAAAGTCATACTTATAATTATGACTTTTTATATCAGTAATCATAATCAGTAAAATCAAGTAATAATTATAATCATAATAGTAATTATACAGAATAATTCTGCAACTCATAATTACAAGAGAAAAGTCATTTTTATCTCATAATTATGTCAATTATGATCCAAGTTGAAGTTAGGACATAAAAAGTCCTAATTATGAGATTGAAAATTCAAAATAATTACATAAAAAGTCGAAATAATAAGTCATAAATTAGATTTATTTTTGTCATAGTTATGATTTAAGTCATTATTATGAGAAAAAAATGATGATGTGCTAACTTAAGCACCACAATCAGAACGTTTGAATTCATTTGACTCTTTTCACTTCATTGGCAGGTATTTCTCGTTTCTGAATGCCATTGCAATTAAGAACTTTCCATTTAACATTTACATTTAATCATTTAGCAGACGCTTTTAACCAAAGAATCAATCAAGCAGCGACTGACCACCAGTGCACGTTTATAGGGAGAGGGGTGACGTGCGTCTCTTCGGCTCGATGAACACACTCTCGCTGCGGCATCTGGATCAGTGTGAGAGGTTTGACAGATGCTGGAGGGAGAGAGCATTACAATAGTCCAGTCTGGAGAGAACGAGAGCTTGGAAGAGGAGTTGTGTAGCTCTGATAGGAAGGGTCTGATCCTCCTAATGTTGTAAAAGGCAAATGTGCTCTGTGAAGTTCAACTGATCATCCATCACAACTCCAGGGTTCCTGGTGGTCCTCAGAGGAGTTAAGGTTGATGAGCCAATGGCTGAATGGAGAAACTGTGCTGAAGTGTTGGATTGGTCGAGACCACGAGTAATTCTGGCTTCACAAGGTTGAGTTGAAGTTAGTGGTCCTTCATCCAGCAAGAAATGTCCGTCAGATCCGCTGTCTGGAATGAGAGGTAGAGTTGTGTGTCGTGACGGGAAAAGCCATGTTTCTGAATGACAGATCCTACACTCTAAAAATGCTGGGTTATTTTAACCCAATTTTGGGTCAAAAATGGACAATAAATTGCATTATAAATTGCATTTTTAACCCAACATTTGGGTTTGACCATATTTGACCCAAATTGGGTTGGAAGAACCCAGCATTTGATGACATGTAGATGCAGAAGAGAAGCGGTCCCAGCACTGAGCCCTGAGGCACCTCACCCCTCGACGACACCCTGGAGGACTCCTGAGTTCTGCGGTTCCTGATGCCCTTCATCATGAGGATTGACTGGGGGATCTGGTGAGTCAAAAGCAGCAGACAGATCCAGCAAGATGAGAACTGAGGGTTTGAAAGCTGCTCGTGCCAGTCTCAGAGCTTCAATAACCGAGACTCAGTCGGGTGGCACTTTTGAAAGTCATCCAGCTTATTCAAATGTCTTAGCAATGAATGGACGAATGTATACCAGTTTGTAGTTTTCCAAAAGTGCTTAAGATTACTAAAGGATCACACATGTACATTCAAGTTGGTATTTTTGAACATTTTCATCCCTGACTACGCTAGAGTTTCAGTTCACTCTAATAATGTACGTTTGTTTTGTATTGCAGAAGCTCAGGACAAAGGAGCGCCATGCTTGAGTATGTCTCAATTACTCTGCAGAATCAACTGTACATGCAAAACCTACATTTATAATGATCTAAATTCAATATTAAATGTCAGCATGTATTTCTGCAGTTTGATAATGTGTATTAAATGAGACGCTCTGCTTCTTCTAGTGGCCGCAAGATACAAGCCCTTCACCAAGTATGAGTACTTCTATGAGACAGAGTCGTTGAATGCTTTGAACGGGGCTGTCAACGGCCCCAAGGCCAGCTGTAAGGTACAGTACGAGTTCATGTCACCTCATCAAACTCTTAAGATGCTACTGTTTTTTTCAGAAACGCAGTGTGACTGTCGTATTAGGTTGAGATTGCGGCTCTTGGTACATGCAGCTACATTGTGCGCACCACCGACTGCACACTGAGTGAAGTGGTCGACGTGGATGCGGATGGAAAGCCTGTGTTTGGAGCAGCGGCCGGTGCGGAGGACTTTAAAACCGCCATGGAGAGGTAAAGGCCAGTTAACCGTTTTAGCAACTATAGGCAATCAATGTGTTTCGTTTCAGCTTCATTTGATCATGTGTTATCGTTCTCACCTGTGTCTGTGTATTTAAGTTGCTCTGTTTTTGCTCAGTGTTTGTTATGCTGAGACCAACCTCTCCAGTCTTTTGGTAAATTCCTCTGGTGATATTCTCTGGATTTATTTGCTTTTTCATTTTGTTGTCCTTATTTTTTAAATGTAAGTTTTTGGGAAACATAATTTACCCTTTGATGTTTCTATAACCATTTTTTTTCTTTTTTGGATTGACTGAATTTGGAGATTTTGTTTTAGAATTTCTTAATAATTTATTGCATTGAGTTTTTGGAACTGGATCTTTTGTTTAGGAATTACATTAAGGAGACATGAAGTGTACACCCTGATTGAGCTCTCGTTTCTGCAACTGGGTCCTCTCCTCTCTCCTTCATTCGGTCCTCACAGATTTGTTCAAAGATAACACTAACAATAACTAGGGTGCATCTCAATCAGCTCCCTATAATCCGGGCACTAGATGGTCATAATCATCAGACTCGTCTCTCTTTGTTCAGACGCCCTCTGAAGTTCACCGTTGAGGGAGACGATGACATCAAGCTTTTCCCTGAGGAAGATGAGCTGATAAACATCCTCAACATCAAGAGGGGAATCATCTCTGCTCTTGCTGTCCCAGTGCTTGAGGAGGACAGGAACGAAGACATGGTCCGTTGCATGATTTATCAAAATGAAATTGGTATCGTGATATGGCCTAATGCGTTTGTCAAACCACACAGGCTGCAATTTAATTACGATATATACATATATATGTTACTGGTTTCAGAGTGAAGCACGTCATCTACACCTGATATCATGGGTTACAAGCATGTGAATGAACCAAATGCGGAGCTTTAATCTGAAACCAGTCCACTTCTAACATTCAGAGCGTTTCTATTCCAGCCCACCATCTACGGTCTGTGTAAGACTGACCATGTTGTGAACACCAGAGAGGACATCGCCACCGAAGTCACCCTTAAAAGAGACTTGTCCGATTGTGACAAGTTCAGGCCGGTCGAAGACCACACCAGTCCCCTCGCCCTCATCTCCGGCATGGTGAGTTCGGAGACTTGAACGTAAAGTGCTCCAATCATGCTATTTTATAGGTTGCTAATTTTGTTTTTGAGTTTTACATTCATCCAATGCTCTGATTGGTCAGACGGCCCAATCTGTTGTGATTGGTCTGAAACCAAACTCTTATTAGCTTATCTGAATTTTATCTCTTTCTCAGCACTTGATACACAGTAATACAAACAGTAACGATGCCGTCGGTTTTGCCGTATAAATCTCATCACCAGCAGAAAACAGCGGCTTTCTCAACATGAACAACACAAACCAAACTCTTTCAGTCTCAGAAACAACTACAGTGATTGAGGGCGGGGCAAAGAGACGCTGTTCGGCCAATCAAGACCAGAGACGCGAGAGCCAATTATGCAAATTAGTTACAAATCGACACAGATTTAGCAGGAAGTGAGACTCAATTGTTGACGACTCGTTTCAGGCAGTTCAGAATCGATTCTTTCTTGTAGGAGACAATGGGCCAGATTTACATTATTATATAATTGAATATTTAATTTGGCAAGGCTTAAAGCTACACTGTGTGATTTTTAGCGCCATCTAGCGGTGAAAAGGTATACGACCATCCAGTGAATATTAGTTTCTGTTCCTCTCAATTCCGATTAACATGGCTTCCAGTTCGACCGCATCTATGAGTGTTCCTTCAAGTGATGAGGTTATTTTAGAAAACTATTATAATTTGCAGTAATTTAATTTGTCAGGTAACATACAGGTTATGACATCTATGTAAAATGAATAATAGCTTTATGTTTTCGTTATTTTTTTTTATCATATTGCTAACATCAGTTATCAGGTTCCCAGACAAATGCAAGTTAGTAAAGTAACTTTTATCAGTGCTATCGTTATTCTGTATGTTGTACGACATCTCTAGCGCAAGGCAAAGTTTACATTGTAGGCTATATCATTTTCATACTGAAGTGTAGGCTAGCCATAGTAAGGTGTCATAGTGTGAAAAATATTTACATCATACAATAATAGCCTACGTCTTAAATTAATAAGATTACAGGACAGATGTGAAAGTGAAGGTGAAAGTCTAACTTGGAAACATCTAACTAATGCTGCGTTCCAGGCAACCTGTAACCCGTGTTTTTCCAACCTTATAGGCTACCCGTGAAAGTGCACTGGAACGGCAGTCAAACCCTCGACTGTCCCACCCGTGAACTCGTAGATCGATGTACTCCCAGTTACATGTTGTTAAAACACGGGTTACAGGTTGCCTGGAACGCACCATTACAACTGCATTATCACATTAGGTTACACTTATTGTGTATAAAGTAAAATAAATGAAAAATAACTACAATTTAAAGTGCCTACATATAACTTCTAAAGTAAACAATAAGTCCGCACACCAGAAGATGCTCCTACGAGCATCCTATTTAATGGTTGCTCACCACGTGTACGTTTATCGTTTCGGGCCACAAGCCCTTCATCAGCTGATGTCGTTCTAGCGTCATGCACAGTACACCATGATATAATTAGCCAAGCAACAATAAAACTTCCAATATACACAAATAGGCTTAATTAACGTTACCTGTCGAGAAGAAAGCAGGCAACGTCGGCGTCCTTTTTAAAAGCTCGTCATGAGCTCTTTCCATCTTGGGAAGGCCACTCCAATATTTACTTTTGTCTTGTTGATTTGCCTGTTGCGTTGCCGTCTTAATTCTCTTTTTCGCTTCCTTGGCGACTCTGACACGTATCCTCGAGAATAAGAGTGATCCTCCATCAGCAACAGACTTTCAAAAAGGCTTTCAGGTTTTTATTTCCGCACCGAATTATAAGGTGCACCTTCAATGAATGACCTATTTTAGAACATTTTTCATATATAGGGCGCACCGCAGTTACACAGTGTAGCTTTAAACGTTCGTGACAATCAATTAGTTATAGAGGGAACGTCAAGGAACATATTCAAATAATAAATATTCAAATAAAATAAAAATCAATGTCATGACCCCTTTTAAACCGAGTGTAGATGAGTAGGTTGAGATGTCCAATGTTTGTCCTTCTCTCTTCCCAAGAATTATCCTCTTGCTCAGCTGATCAGAAGCAACCAGACCTGCAAATACAAGTTTAATAATGAGCAGCACCACATGACCTCTGGAACTTGCACCGAAAAACACGTGCTTGCGCTCTTTTCACATAAGTAAGTGAAATAATACATTCCTGTAGCTCATGTAACTTTAGAGCATGTTTCTAGAAATGCCAATGTCATAACATATTAAGCATTTGAATATGAGTGATTGTATGCATATTTTAACATAAAACCATTATTAGGAAGTTTTGCATCTGCCAAATGCATAAATGTACTCAAAAGTAATACACGAAAGTATTTTGGATGCTCATGCACTGATGTTTGTCTCAACCAGGGGAGAATATGGAGTGGTCAATACTGGCAAACAGGCCTTGACCCTTCTGGGAGTCGCTAAGTACAGTGACAGAGTCTTTGACCACAGTAAGAGAACATCTCTTTGGGATGAATGTTCATAATTTACATGCATTTCAAACTGAATGCAAAATGTTATTTTTTCAGATATGGCCAACATGAAACCCCTCCATCAAGACAGCAGTGTTGACATGAGCCCCATCCAGGATAAAGAAGCTGCTCTTGTTGTTCTGAGGGAAATTGCTGGGCTTTCCAAAACCAACGATGGACGTAAGAGAGCCCACTTGGCCCACAAGCTCGTAGCCGTGATCCGCAAGATGGAAGCTGAAACTTTGACGGCCGTTGTTCCCGAGGCATTGGAAATCTCTCAGTCTGTCACGTACCAGGCTTTGCTGCAGTGCGGTACCCCAGAATGCTGCAGTGCTGTCATGCAGATATTCAGGACCTTTGACAAGATCTCGGGTGAGATTGACGCTGCTGTGTATGCCATGGGAATGATACCCCGGTCCTCCCGCGTCCTTGTGAAGGAAATGTTGGCGATGGCAAAGTTCAAGCCAAGCAAACCCATCTACTACGCTCTCAGCAATGCTGTGAGAAGGTGAGGGACAGCTGTAGAAATGTATTCCAAGGTGAAAGTAAAGCTTATGAGTTGAATTTTACAAATTGGTAGCATTTCTGTAGTTCAAACAGGTAAGGATTGGCCAAGATCTTGGGTTTCGTTCCAAGGGAATGCATGCACAATGTTATTATTCTAAAATTTTGCCTTGATTATAGTGTCTGACCAAGGAATAAATACAGGACTCTTGAATTTGCAAACATGTGAAAAGACATTTTCAGACAAATCTCAGCTTTTTTCTCACTGACTGTCGTCAATGTTGTACGCGAGTCCCCTTTCTTTTTTGTGTGACCCAAGGCTCTTTGAGACGGATGGAGTCACCAGTGAGATCCAAGCAGTGGCTGATTACGCCCTTGAACAGATCGGTGATTGCACAGGGGACCAGGAACACGTCTTTCTTTCTTTGAAGGTATGTTCACACAAATTCCTACATGCTAATAAATTAAACTTTAGACTCTACAACTAAAGCCCTGTTCGGATGGTAATTGTTTGTCATGTGGACCCAAGGTATTTTCAATATTTACAGGCTGTGATTTTATTGCCTTCTGATTCCAGAATGTCTTTGTTTTTCTTCCACTATCTGCATAAAAATAGCTAAATTTTAAGTAAAAAGTTTGTAAATGATACTTGACCAATTCTTACTCGTACCGTATGTAATGAATTTGACACGCCAAAATGGATGTTGGGCTCCAACTCTTGAATGCCTCAGCAAATTGGGACGAAACTTGGTGCATGTCATCATAATCATGACTCGATGGTACTTGTACATTTGTAGCACTGCACCACCTACTGTTCAAGAGAAAGGAAGATTTGAGTTTTTGCTTTTAACTGCTGGATGGTCTGGCCAAACATCATGCATTTGGTCTCGTTCGATTACCCTAAAAGTCTTATTACAGGTCATTGGCAACATGGCGGCTGCATTGGGAGCTGCGCGTCCTGCTTTGCAGTCTTCTGTTATTCAATGCATCAAGCAGCCGGCTGCCTCCGCCGCAGTCCAACAGGCCGCGGTCCAGGTCTACAGACAGACTCCAGTACCTGAAGAGGTGAGCTGTTAAATAAATCCACAACTCTTGGTGAGTTTGAAGTCAGTATATAAAATAGGTATAAAATGCAATTGGGCTTAAGAAACTATGACTCTTTATTTCCGTACATCATAAATGACTTGGTGATATCAAGTTATCTTGCGTTCGGATTCCTGTTGTTTTCTGATCGCAATCATGCGAGATGCTTCTTGGAGGGAAATAAATCAAATTATTCTGATGACAGACTTTGGCTCTGAGATCTGAGATGCTGTGATGCAATTGGTCCGCTGGTTAGTCCAGTTATCCAATCACATCTTCTGTTGAGCCAAGTCGATTTTTTTTTTATTGTGCATAGAGGTATTTATCATATAAATGTTTATGCGCATGTCTTCTTATTGGATAACATTTATCTTCATCTTGGTGTTTCCATCCAGTAATATTCCAAACATAGATGGATAGAAATAGCTAATGAGACTCTGAAAAGCTCTATAACGTAATAAACATGTTTAAATGAAAAACTACACTCTGAAACCGGTTGTGCATGTATTTACCTAATACAATCATAGCATGCACTTTATTCTCACATCCCTAGTATAATGGTCCTTTCATGGCTTTTACAGGGCCGAGAGGTGCTCATACGTGCTGTTCTGGACAGAGCCGCGTCCGTACAGAAGCGTGTAGCTGCGTATCTCATCTTGATGAAGAACCCCACGCCTGCTGAACTCGCTCAACTGGCAGCGGCTCTCCTTGGTGAGGAAAATCCTCAGGTCAAGAGCTTCATCATCTCTCATATCAGCAACATCTTGAGCTCTACGGCACCAGAGACCCTGGAGTAAGTTAAGAAGAAGAAGAAGCTAATCTGTTTTTCAGAAGAAAAGGTAATGTTGTTTTGTTTACTCCCTAGCTTGAGACAGAAGATTCGAGAGGCCTTTCAAGGCAATGAAATCGAAATGCTTATGGAACCAAATGAACTCTCTCGGTACTACAGACTTGGGTCTTTAGAGGGAAACATGATCTTTGAATCTTCTAATGAACTTCCAAGGGAGGTCATGTTGGAGATGACCTTGAATGCTTTTGGATTTGATATGGACTTGATTGAGGTACAGAGTTCAATAAAAGTCCAACATTTAATTAAAATCTGTTTGATATGGGCCAAATTCTGTTTACCGTAATCAAGCAACTCTAATGTCTTTGATTCTTGCTTTCAGATTGGCATGGAGGGAAAGGGCTTTGAGCCCATTGTGGAGGCTCTCTTCGGTGACGATGGATTTTTCCCAGATACTATCATGAAGACCACCTTATATGCCACCGACAAAATGCCCATCGAACTCAATGAGGTCTTGGACAACATGCTGCCGTTCATGGGAAACGATAGGAAGAAGAGACAGGTATTAAATCTACTGAAAGTTGCAAATGGATATATTTCTTCACAGCTGGTTCCCAATCTCGTTCTTATCTGTGTGCTGTAGGCTTCTCAAAACATAGTCAATGAAATCAGTCATAATATCAACAAGCTTATCGAGGACTTAAAGGCCCAGGATGCTCCTGAAGCAATGGTGTACCTCAAACTTCTGGGTGCTGAACTTGGGTATCTTGATACAAAAGATGGCAAGATGATTCAAAATCTCCTTAAGATGATCCCCACTGACGTGAGTACAGTTTTACCAACCACCTCATGTCATCACATGGATTCTGTCATCAGAATTAGTAATGCAAACAAGGGAGTTGATATGTCAACTTTTTAAAGGGATAGTTCACCCAAAAATGAAAATTCTGTCAGTATTTACTCACCCTCATGTTGTTCCAACCCCGTAAGACCTTCGTTCATCTTCGGAACACAAATTAAGATATTTAAGATATTAAGATCGCTCCTGCATACTAGTCCATAGGCTTCTTGGGGAATGACAATTGCTGGCCTCGAAAAGTCATTAAAGACATCGTTAAAATAGTCCAAGTGACTACAGTGGCTCAATCTTAACTTTATCAAACGACGAGAACACTTTTGTGCGCAAAAAAAACAACAAAAATAACGACTTTATTTCAACTATTGGTTTATTTCTCCCTCTGCGCGAGTCAGGTTACTAGTTTAATAGCGTAAGCTTCTGTTATTGTGCGTCACACGCATCACACACATGACCAGCGTCGGCCAATAGTGAGCCTACGTGTGACGCAATCACACTACGCTAACTGACTACAGGCCCATGGAAAAGGAAGTGAATAGTTGAAATAAAGTCATTATTTTTGTATCGCAGAATCGAACCGCAATACTTGCTTGTATCGCAATAATATCAAATCAGAATTTAAAAGCTCTTGACTTTGTTTCTAAAGAAAAGCATCAAAGCACAAAGATTATTTGGTTATTGGATGGGAGGTGCTACAAAATATAGAAAAAAATTTTCTTGATGCATCAATTAAAGCATTGACCAAAAGATTGATCTAGATTTAAAATGAAGTCAATTATCCTATAAACCTCATCTTTGCTAATTAAAATGACATATTTAAAAAAAAAACATTGCTGTGAAAATTTCTTCATGCCTTAAAAATAGCTTCAATGTAACTCAACACCCTTGTGTCTCTTAGTATGGAATCATGAATATGCAAATTGGTCCCCACCTCTATACACTAACATTAAAAATTTTACAATCCTGATCAGTATCGGTTAAAAATTAGATGTCAACATTGTCAATCCAACACTAGCATCCACACAGCTGACATGTTATGACACAAGAAATGCTAATTAAACGTCACTGTTTGGGTCAATAATTTCTATCCTCCAAAACTGTTTGCTCAAAACAACAAATTTCAGTTACCGAAATGTCTTTGCATTACTAATTAACATTATATTTTTATATAGTTCCTCAAAAGACAGCTCTCAAGTGTCGACAACGAGCTTTTCCTTCTCTACATGTTCATGGATAATGAGTTTTTTCTGCCCACCGGAGCTGGTTTTCCACTGAGAGTGGCTCTGTCTGGGACCTTTACTCCTGGAGTCAAAGGAGGACTGAGATTTAATCCAGGCAAGGTTAGTCCAACACACTTCAATCATGCACATGTCATTGTCAACAACAGATTATTATTATCAGGCATTTCTACTATTATGCTCGAAGAGGTGTTCATGTCTTTGAAAACTGCATTTATTTGATCAAAAATAAAGGAAAAGTTGTGAAATATTTCAATTTATATAAAAAAAGCTATTGTCTATGTAAATATATTGTGCAAAGATCTTTATTCCTGTGATTGAAGCTGAATTTTCAGCATCATTACTCCAGTGTCACATGATCCTTCAGAAATCACTCTAATATGATAATCTGATGATCAAGCAATTTCTGATTTCAATGTTGAAAGCAGTTATATTTCTGAGAAAATATGAATGAACAGTGATGATATTCAGACATATTACTTGAGCAACATATTAGAATGATTTCTGAAGGATTGTGTGACAGTAAACACTGGAGTAATGATGCTGAAAATTTAGCTTTGATCACAGGAATAAAATATATCTGCAAGCAGCAATTTCCAGGCCTTTTTATCAAATAAATCCCAAAACAATCTTAATTCAAACTATTGACTGGTAATATACTAACATGAATTAATGACTACACAGAGGGAATTTGTTTTGACCCTGTCTGCTGGCATTGAGTTTGTGACTGAGATTGGGACTCACTTTCCCGACTATGTTCACTGTGGCCTGGCGATGCACACGAACATCTATCACGAAAGCGGTGTTACAGCAAGGCCCTCTGTGACCGACAGCCAGCTCAAGCTCTCCATTCCAGCTCCTCATGGACCAACAGAACTCATTAGCATCACGTAAGTGAAACTTCAAAATCAATGCATAAAGGATTTAAAAGCCCTTCGCAGAAGAGGGAGATGCAAGAATGCAAGCAACTGGCAATTATAAGAAAAGAATTGTGATAGTCCAAATTACCTATACACACATTTTATTCCTAGGCAGAATTAAATGGTTTCAAAAAAAAAAAAAAAAAAAAAAAAAAGTGAGGGTCTACACCCTGCAAAAAACAAAGCTATACAGAAGCATACACACAGGTTAAGTATTGGAGCTTAAGCAGTTCTGTAAAAAGGCTTGGCAGAAACTCGGCTCGATTAGTTCAAATCAAGCACCAATCAGAATGAACAACCTTGCTAAAGCACAAATGGACCTTTAGTAGTGTGGCCCAGTAAATAAAACCAAGAACAGTCATGCAAGAGCCGACTTGTTGAACAATACCAATTTATTAAATCTAAATTGACATGACCAGGTTAACTTCTCCACTAGACACCACAGTTTGCCCACTAGAGATGGTCTTGATGGGAGTGTCCCTTCCTGTAAGAGAAGTGGTAGAAGCATGAGGAGCATTTACAAACCAAATTCTCAGGGTTCCCAAGTCAGTTTACAGCGAGCACTCACTTTTCCTAGCGCAGCTTTGCTCACAGGAGCCAGAAGAGGGATGGCACACTGCTGTACTACAGTGGATGAAGATCTAACAGAGGAAGAAAAGGTTTAGCCATAGAATTCACTATAAAAAGTACTTGTATTAAGGGTTGAGGTAAGGCTTTGGAGCATACGGTTTCCTGCTGAGGAGCCAGTGATGACGGATCAACAAATGTGAACATCTTCACAATAAAGCGCTTGTAGTGGGTTGGGAACTGAAGACCAGACGATCCAGTCACTGGAACCAATGTGGTCAGGTAACGATCATCCTGGTAAGGGCATCTGAAAGGCAAAGAGGGAATCAGAAACACATCTTACAGCACACTAGATGGACAAAGACTGGCCTTACTCACCCATCAACCAGAAGGTCCCATTGGGGTAGACTGAGTGGACTGGGGGTTGACGTCGCCCAGCAATGTCCCAGCATCAGGACAATGTTGGGGTCGGTCCTCTCCAAAACGTGCACCTCAACATACACAGGCTCCCGCAGGACTTTTGTAACAGGATAATCAGCATCACTGTAGTAGGAAGTGTACGCCTCGTCCCCTGAGGAAGAACAGTGTTTAACCAGAAACCACTGCAACCTGGAGCTTTAGAAAAGCTTTAGGCACACTCTTGGGTCAAATACTTGCCTTCTGCACAGCTTTGGTGACACACTGACCATTTGCTAGCCTAAGCTCCACCCTGAGGGGTCCAGGAGCAGCTACTGGTGGAGGTGGAGGAAACAGTGTTGACCTCCACAACCAGAGCTTCCACAGAAGTACCAGAGTACCTACACTGGAAGAGAAGCCTGAAAACAAATAGTGAGCTTGTAGCATTTGCCAAGGATTAACAAAACCTGCTAAAGCATACATCACCCACTCAAAATGGCTGTCCCTTGTGATGGAACCAAGTGGTCCGATACCCACTTCATACGAGGAGGTCATTCTGTTTTCATACACCACATATCCACTGTCCTCCTGCAAATAGTAACACTGTTGGCATCCAGTCCATCCAAAGCCATGCAGAACAAAACCACAAGCAGCTACTCACCATCATGCTCGTGCCGCACGCAGTGACAGGGAACTGGTATATAGCAAAGAAAGGTGTAGATCCAACAGGACTGCAAGCTCGATCATTTCCACCCAGGAGACGCACTGAATCCAGGCTCAAACGAGGCAGCGTGACATCTCTAGCCACCACTACCACAAACTGACCATCTCTTATACACTGGACAGTCACTGGAACAAGGCACATAAGCTGGTTATTGATGAGGATCGGTTTAACAAGAAAAACCTTTACATTGACTCACTCTTACCGGCCTTCCCATAGTAACACTGCTGTCCGTTAAAGCAGCAGTTGATAGCTGCACACTCAGCACCACTGATACCAGGTGGTCCACATTGGATCTGCTCATAATCAGCTACACTACATTTGTCAATGGGCTCTGCCTTTACCACTGGGTACTTAGACTGAAACTGCTGAGGAAACTGTTGACTAGCTTGCTGTTGAACTGACTGAGGAAACTGCTGACTAGCTTGAATAGACTGAGGAAACTGTTGACTAGCTTGCTGTTGAACTAACTGAGGAAATTGTTGACTAGCTTGCCGTTGAACAGACTGAGGAAACTGCTGACTAGCTTGCCGTTGAACTGAAAGAGGAAACTGTTGACTAGCTTGAACTGACTGAGGAAACTGTTGACTAGCTTGAACTGACTGAGGAAACTGTTGACTAGCTTGAACTGACTGAGGAAACTGTTGACTAGCTTGCTGTTGATTTGACAGAGGAAACTGTTGACTTGCTTGCTGTTGAAACCTCTGGTCAGGTTGCTGGAACATCAGAGCTTGAGGACTTTGCGGCAGATTACTCCACTTTGGAACAGCATGACAGAAAGCACAGACCCAAACACAAAGTGCCAGAGACTGAACAACACACCAACGTCCTGCCATTGTCCAACAGCAGTCACACTGTTGAGATGCTGCCCTTTGATTTTTTGTACTCTACCGATTTTGGCTAATTAACGATAATCCCTCCCTTTTCATTAACAGTCATGATTCTCCAGACTTGCATGAGTGTGTAGTTTATCCAACTGGGAGTTTCCATTTGTTCTTGAGATTCAATTATCCTTGTTTTTCCACCCTTTTTTAACATACAATGAATGCACATATTGAGCTTGATGCAGAATAGTTTCCTAGTACTATTTCTGCCGTTCAGAATTTGGCCTTTGTTTTATGCTTCATCCTGCGAATATAATGGTGGATGTTTTGGCTTTTCTGGCCTGTGTATTCAGATTGACTCAAGAGTTTGACATGCAGGATTATGTTTCAATGATATGGAAGCCTTTATCAGCAAGCAATAGCTGCCGTATTCTTAAAATGATCTTGCATTTCTACTATTATGGTCTTATATGTGTTCATGTTTTTGAAAGCTGCATTCATTTTATCAAAAATACAGTACAAAATGTGAAATATTATTCCAAATTAGAATAGCTGTTGTCTTCGTAATAATAGTGTAAAGTCTAATTGATTCCTATACTGGCTAACACCAGACCACGTACCATTTAGAATGAGACGTGGTCCGGAAACCACATTCATTTTCTCGTATTTGAGGCATGGTTTACGAATGCTCAGAGCCATATTATTGGGTCCTACAAATGTCTATCAAAGGTGCCTGTGCTCCCTCCCCATTCTGTGATTGGGTCCCTATTTCAGGGGAAATTTCAGTTCATGGGGTCCAGGCTGCCTAGCAGCATGAATAAAATCACACTGTGGCATGGCAGCATGGGGAAACACAGGCTAATTTATTCCTGTGATGAAAGCTGAATTTTCAGCATCGGTACTCCAGTCTTCAGTATCACATGGTCCTTTAGAAATCATTCTAATAGGCTGCTTAAGAAACATTGATTACCATCAATTCTTTGCCAGTCTGCCAGCATTGAGTTTGTGTCTGAGATTGGTACTCACTTCCCCAAACTATGTTCACTGTGGTCTGATGCACACAAACAAGCATCAAAAGACACCTGGAAATGGATTTTTTCAATGTAATGAACAGATTTAAAAGCTCTTCACACAACAAGTAGGGCTACACGATGATGGTTAAACCGATAATCATTATTATTCTCATTTGAGTTATTTCTTTTATCCAAATTATGTAATTTTCATGTGAACACAAAAACATCTACACATATGCAGGGTATATTTTCCAGAAATACTGTAAGTCACAATTCCAAGAAACCCACAATTGTGAATAAGTCACTATTATGATTGTTATTCCTTGGCATAATAATCTGTGAGAAAAAGTCTGCACCCTCCTACATAAAATATTGAGCTTTATAGAAGCATAGGAACCCAGGTTTGCAACTGGAGCTTGGCAAGTAGTTCAGTGAAATGGCTTGGGCAGAAGTTTGGCTTGTTTAGTTCAAATCAAGCACCAATCAGAATGAACAACCTTGCTAAAGCAAAAATGGACCTTTAGTAGTGTGGCCCAGTATATATCTAAAAAAAAAAAAAAAAAAAACAAGAACAGTCATGTAAGAGCCGACTTGTTGATCAATACCAATTTATTAAATTTAATTTGACATGACCAGGTTAACTTCTCCACTAGACACCACAGTTTGCCCACTAGAGATGGTCTTGATGGGAGTGTCCCTTCCTGTAATAGAAGTGGTAGAAGCATGAGGAGCATTTACAAACCAAATTCTCACAGTTCCCAAGTCGGTTTACAGCGAGCACTCACTTTTCCTAGCGCAGCTTTGCTCACAGGAGCCAGAAGAGGGATGGCACACTGCTGTACTACAGTGGATGAAGATCTAACAGAGGGAGAAAAGGTTTAGCCATAGAATTCACTATAAAAAGTACTAATAATAAGGGTTGAGGTAAGGCTGCGGAGCATACGGTTTCCTGCAGAGGAGCCAGTGATGACGGATCAACAAATGTGAACATCTTCACAATAAAGCGCTTGTAGTGGGTTGGGAACTGAAGACCAGACGATCCAGTCACTGGAACCAATGTGGTCAGGTAACGATCATCCTGGTAAGGGCATCTGAAAGGCAAAGAGGGAATCAGAAACACCTTACAGCACACTAGATGGACAAAGACTGGCCTTACTCACCCATCAACCAGAAGGTCCCATTGGGGTAGACTGAGTGGACTGGGGGTTGACGTCGCCCAGCAATGTCCCAGCATCAGGACAATGTTGGGGTCAGTCCTCTCCAAAACGCGCACCTCAACATACACAGGCTCCCGCAGGACTTTTGTAACAGGATAATCAGCATCACTGTAGTAGGAAGTGTACGCCTCGTCCCCTGAGGAAGAACAGTGTTTAACCAGAAACCACTGCAACCTGGAGCTTTAGAAAAGCTTTAGGCACACTCTTGGGTCAAATACTTGCCTTCTGCACA